AAAAGCAAAGCCAGTCATTCTTGTGATGTTTCTTGTATTAGTAGACTTCTTCTGAATAAATTTTCTGATTTTTGTTGGTTATGTATGTCTTAGAAGAATCATTTAAATGGAAAGGAATCAGGATTTGTTCACTGTTTATAGTCAGAATAAATGTAACTACATAAGAATAGTAATAAAAAACAAAACGGCCACCCTGGGGATGATGCTTGATATCAGTCAGCCAGCTGATAATCTTATTCTTGTTTTGTGTTGGATTTTTTTTCTGAAGAATAATTAATTCTGACTTAGCTGCAAGCTAATGTGATTTGTTACTAAAAAACTCTTCTAAATATTGTGCCACTTCCTGTGAACCAGAAAGGTATCTATAGGCTTAAAAGTACTTTGAACTGTAACAGCTTATATTCAGAAATGGGCAGACTTTTTAAAAGTATTGACCATCTCTCTCTATAAACTGAATGTAAAAAAGGAAAAAACCCACATGTATCATTTACTTGAAGCATACTTTCTGATAATAGGGTTGCAGATCTGATTCTGTGTAGAACATGACTGGAAAGAGTGGTTTCTTACTTCTGTGCAATACTTTGGTAATTGGAGCTCTCACCCAGGATAGAGGAGAAAAAGATTTAATTGCATTTTCTTCTTGAAGAAGTTTGGTTGACTTTTGGTGTTGCAGCTGCTGTTTATGGGGTATACTTGAACACTAGTGAGAGTGTGTATTTTAAATTCCTGTCGTTGAAACTGTCTGTTTCAATCCAACGTGAAACAGAGATTCAGCCTGCTGAGAGTGAGCCTGACGATAGGCTGGTTATGTCTGGAGTCACCTTTCTTACCTAGAAAGGAGGGGAAAAACTGGGCTTTAGTCTCTGTTCTGCAGAGCTCCTCTTTTACAAATTGCTCTTGTGGCCAGTTAAAATTTGACTGTGAAGGACTAAAATGGCTTTGTTCTCATACCCTTGGGTATACTTAACAATGTGTTTTAGACCTCCGAAGAAATTCAGACAGTGTTCCCCAGAGGAGAGAACTGAATCTCTGATCTTTCACATCCTGATTAAGTGCTGAATTCGAGGAGATAGTTCAATGGAATTGCTTCATCATTGAAGGGAGGAGCTTCCTTTCACTAGGGAAGTTCAGCAAGGTGCTTATGATCCTAGAGGGTTTTTTACATATTTTGTGATGCACCTCTGCCTCCTCCCCCTCCCCCCGCCCCCAGGTGGCCACCCTCAGCATCTCTGTGATCAGCCTGCTTAGTTGTTGAATCCTGAATTTATGACTTTGCTCTCGTTTTCAGTATTTATGTTCTTTTATTGTTTGTATAGTAGGATACTTTACTATGAGAAATTTTGTAGGGATTGAAAATTAAGGACCTTAAAGGTTTATGTGAGGATTGATTATACATGGAATAAGGAAAAGTTCCTCAAATACTAATATAAAAATCTGAAGTGGCAGCAGGAGAGCCAAAACTGCCTTTCATTTGGCTAATTTATTATTTCAACTTTAAGTTCTGGTCATTGTGTTTTCTTTGAACTTAGAGCTCTTTCTGTTCCATCCATTCCCCAGTTCCTAACTATTAAGTTTCTGATTTAGTTTATTAAAGTCCTTTGATAATGCACAGGTATCTTTATAACTATGTAGACTAGATTATATAAAGTGCAGAGCAGAGATCTAGTTTTTAATGATAATAATAATAATAAATGCCACTTTTTTTCCCCCTAATTTCCATTAAGGCTGCTGTGCTGAAGAAGATTTCTTACATACCAAAAGGAAGAATCAATTTTGTATCACAAAGAGTTTATATTGAATTTATTAAAAGTAAACTTTTACCTTAAACTTTAGATCTTATCTCTAAAGACCCTGCTGTCATGACTGATTGTAAAACAAAAATTTCCAAGTTTGGATACGTGAAAGCTTAAAGTTGGAATATTTTATAAGTGATACCGTAAGTATTTTAGTAAAAATCTCTATCTCCCTTACAAAATGAAATAGAGTTTGTAAAAGCACATTAAAAGCCCAGATTTGTCCATTAAAAGTATATTATTCCACCCTTGGTACACTGAATGAAAATTAAAGATGAAAATCTGGTTTACCTCAGGATAGGGCTTGCAATCATTATGGTGTGCGGACTTCTCAGAATGGAACAGTTCAACACGTGCTTATTGAGTCTAGATTTTAAAATACATATCACAAAAAGTATGTATGTATATATAAATACACATATTTGACCTGTCTCATGGTAGTGAGGGGGGAAAAAAAAGCTCATATTTTAATATGCAGAGGAAAATAGTATCAAGAGAGAATGCTGTAAACTTCCCTCTAATAGATATTTTACTCAAAATACTTGTTACTGACCCCCCACCTGAAAAACCTTTGTGGAAAACCCATTTAAAATAATCAACTGCAATTTTATTACTGAGAATGGCTTGCAACAGTTGTTTTATTGTTAATCATGCTGGAACAGATAATTTGACAAAAATATCAAGCGGTAGTAGGCCATGCTCATACAAGAGAGGTTGTTTTTTGTCTTTGCACTGCTACTAGTTCAGCTCTATTGGTGGTAGGACAGTTGTAACTTTAGGGGTTTTTTATTTCTCTCTGATATCTGTTATTTATCACTCTGCATTTTGCTTTTAAAACGAGCTTGTTCTAAAGTCTTCCTATGATCTAGCTGATTGATAATTTTTACTTCTGAAATGTGATTTTTAGATATTTCTTTGAGGTTAGTGTTTTGTTGTTTTTCCTTTTACTGTGTTTTTCTAATTTCTAGTAACTGCCTGCTGGTGAGCAATTCAATTTAACCTCTGTCTTTCACAAAATAACCAAAATTACATTGTTTGGTATTTTTGACTATAGCATTTAGAGAGATAACGTGTAAGCCGGATTTTTCAAGGTGTGTGTTAATGCATGTTGTTCATGGGGTGTGTAATCAGTTTTGTGGCCCTTTGGTCCATCTTCCTTTTGATGAGTTTGAAGAGTTTCCCCATTTTAGCTGTAGCCTCCCCTTTCAGCAAGGAAGGTGTTTGTCATTTCTTGGGAAGACATGTTCTTGCAATCAATTGTGTGTTAGTTTAGATTGGGAATGTACATTTGAAATTAATTTCTTGACTGTCTCTACTCACTTTGCTTTTAGGTGTTGTGCTGTTGTCCCTGAATATACTTGCTTAGGTTTGAGTGAAATGAACCAGAAAGGTATGCTGCAACCACTTATGGGCATTCAGCCTGGTAAGATCTAGTCTGGAGCAATCCCTCCAAAATACATATAATATGGGCTTCAGGTTCTCAGCATCAGTTGAATGCTCTATGAATCCACTTGTAAGATCTGGCATCTGCAAATGCAGGTGCAGCTGAAGTGAAGTTGCAATAGGTTTTATATGCTATAGACTATATATCATTGCGTGTAGAATTATTTCCCTTAATAAGCTGTTGATTTCTGCATGTATTTGGTGACTTTTAACCTTTGTTTAAATTTTCCTCTGATCTTGCTCTAAGTCACTTGTGCATCACATAAATCACAGAAATGTAGTAGTGAGGAGATCTTTCTTAAAGCATGTTTGATGTATTCAAGTGGTTTTAAGGATAGTTAAAAGATACACTAGTTATAGAATCAACTGCCTATAGTTCCTTTACATCCATTTGAAAAGTCTTAAACTCGGTTGTTATTTCTCACTTCTTTTCTCCCCTGAACTTATTGGGAATTGCATTTGGTAATTAGTTTCTGGATGTTAAAACTGCAGGAGGTGTATGTTGTTTTTCAAAGTAGCTGTAACATTCACTCCATCCACCTGATGGCTATGTTATTTAAAGAAGTGTGAGGAAAGAAGGGCAGAGTGCTAGATCCTGAAGTTTTTATTAGGGTTGCTCTTAATTAGAAATCAGTTTGTTTCTGTCTTCCACCCACCCAAAAGGAGCGTGCTTTTGTTTGAAATGCAGTGGGAAAAGAATAGTTTGCTAAAATTGAACATGTAAGTTGAATAGTGTATTAGTGTTTTTTTCCCTCTTTTTCTGGTCCTTAAGAAGAAGAGAGTACGTTGATCAATAATCATTTGTATTAGCTTTAAATTGTACAGGTAGCATGCATATTGTCAGAATTTGAAGGAGGGGTCAGATGAGTTAGTGTTAGTCCTTTCTGGAAAGGGAAGGCAACAAAGCAAAATCAATACCTCTGCTACTTTTAACAAATACGCAATAGAAATTTTGCCTGATTTAGCTTTATGGCATGTGATGTCTTGCACTCTAAGGAAGGAGGCTTTGCTTTGGCAAAACTATGAGTAACCCTCCTTTGGGTCTGCTAGAAGTAGATATGAGATGTACTGGGGAACAGCTCTGATCTGAAAATTCTTTGGCAAGAATGTGTGTGGTTGGTTTCAAGTAACTCTTTTAGAAGACTCAAAAGTATGTTTTACAAATCAGCTGTCTTTTATTGTTAAAGTGGCTAGCAAGTTTCAAATGAGCAGTCTCTACAGGATACTCTGGAAGCCTGGTAGAGGAGTGCCAACATGGAGAAAGTTTCTTGGGTGAGGGCCAACTTAACAAATGCAAGCAGGCAAGCTTTGTGTCCAGACTTGTGTTTCAGCTTACGCCAATGGATTTAATGTCCTTAGAGCTCAGGCACTGAGGCATACATTGCAGCAAAAATACTACAGTACAGTGTGCTCAGTTTCATTCGCTGCTGTGTTTGATGTTGGAGGATTAAGGGGAGGGGAAAGGATCAACTACCCAGGATGCTTTGTTAGGAGGAGTAAGTGAATTTGATTGTCGTCAGAACTAGATTGCCATATGAGTTCTGAAAAGCGTTTGGCTCCTGAGGATAACTGTTCTAAAAATAGATTCGGAGGACAGGTTTCGCTTGGGTCCAGTTTCGGGTTCCAGCTGAGCTGGCTTTAGGAAACTTGTTTGCTCCTGTTGCAAGACTACAGTGAGGATAAATTGTTTCTTATTCTGCCTTCAACATTAATTTTTGGAGATATCGACACACTCGCTCTGTCTGGAAATCGAGCACTAATGTTATGGCTGACGACACAGGTATAATCCTAACTTTTTTGTGAGCAAATGGAAAATGCGTAGTTGCAAATACCAGCTGTGTCTGATTTTATAATCAGCAGAATAACTGGCTTAGTGTGGTATGTTGGTGTTTTCTAGCCAGTTTGCTGTTCTAGTCTGCATTACGGGGCTGCCTCTGTTCTCTGATTAAATGTTCTCTGGAGTAGAGGTGTTTCATGAGTTTATGGCAGGTGGTTAATTGTAACTTAGTTTTTGCTTGAGTAGAGCAGATATTAACATAAGAGACATTATTTTGTCTTCAAATATCTGACATTAAGGTTATTTTTGGAGTATGTGACATTACTAGGTGTCTTTAACGTAAGCTAAAGTAAAAGGGAAAAGGTTTTCATACATTTTTATCTAGGTGTGACTCTTAATGTGGGGTGGGCAAGGTATAGGACTTTTAAAGATTTGCCGTTGAGGGATAGAGCACACTTGAAAACTTCCCGATGTCTGCATAAAGACATCTGGTGGTGTAAGCACAGGCTTACCAGATATGGCAAGTGACCTACTTCTGACATGGCTGGGAGCGTGTGCAGGGAAGGGGCTTGAATTGAGAATTAACTGTCTGGAATGAGCTGTGAGCCAGCGCCAGTCCTTGCAATGTTTTGTTCTGACCCTATGTGTAGGGTTATCTGTGCAGACCATAGGTAAATTTTAGGTTACATAACTTACTTTTTTATTAAAATGTTGCATGATCAAGCTGCCATGGTTGAATTCTTTGCAGAATTTTTCAAGAGTTTTGAAAGTAATTTTCCTATAAGATAGGAAGCCACAGCATAAAAATGTATCTTTAACTGTTGTGAATGATACTTTTATAGCAGAATCTGTTTTTGAGGGATTTGCATGAAAGTCTTTTAAACTGGAAAAAATATGAACAGCTATGCTTGATTACTTAAATAAGTTGTCTTTACTTTCTTTTTCCTGTTCTCTTCTTCTAATAAGTAAAGCCCCTTTCTTCAGAGGCAACTAGCAATAAACAGTAGAAAGCAGTGTGGTAAATGAGTAAGCATGAAGCACAGTAAGATTCTCTTTCCTGTTTGCCTCTTCCACTACCTGGTTTGCTATAGAACAAAGTTGTAACCTGGAATCATTTAAAATGTTTTTAGCCTTAAAGTTTCATTTTAAATATATAAAAAGCTTCCATTGACTGCATTGGAACACAGCAGTAGCAAGGTTCTGCTGTTACATAGTATAATTGTTTATTTCTGAATATTAAGATTTCCAGCTCGAGTACTTTAAGTAATTTTCATATACAGTTGATCCTATTTCTGAATGTACTGGTACATGCTGCTTGTCTTTACCTCTATTTTCAGGCTACCCGTACATCTTTCCTACAAGAGAGATGTTGTGATGAGTAATGTATATGGACCTTGCACGTGTGTAATTAGGGTGCTGTGCAGTGGCAAGCAATACATGCCTGATGTGAGGCTAAGTTGTCTGGGTTTCTCTCTAAATGTTATTGAACAGCCTATACCACGGCAACTTTGTGTTTAAAAAAGAAAAGAAACTAAGTAGTTGATATTTGATCTTTGTGAGTAGTCTTAATAAACTTTTTTTTTTCCAATAAAATACTGAGCTGAGTAAAACATGATGTGAGTCAGTTGGGTTTTTTTATTGGTCTGAACTCGATATATAGCACAATGAATGTAATAAAAGGTTAGTTTATTACAGCTGTTGAACCTGACAGCAAGCAGGGTCTGAAAGTACTTCTATATAATATCTATTACAGAAATAAGTCAGTCACCAATCTCTCATTACTCATCTTTCAGAGCTACTCCATTGTATTCTAAAACCCAGTCATGTTGATATTTAGCTATTGAGGGTATTTTTTGTCTTTTTCTATGATCAGTGTTGATAAATACATAAAACATTACTTGCAATTAGTGTGATAAAGTTAACTCTCTACCTTATTACATTATCACAATATTCATGACAAAGTTCCTCGAGTATTTCAAAATATGTAAGAACTAGTTTTACTTCAATAACTAGGACTGAAAGTGGCTGAACAGGGAAAGGCTGGTGCTTAGAATGGAATGAAGTGAAATAGGCTGATAGACATGAAACTGTGGGTAAGTGCCGCCCTTGCAGCGGTAGTATCAGGAAGCAGAAGAGCAGACGTTGAGAAAGGCCACAGGCATCTTTCTGGATGCACATTTATTTACTACATGTATCCCTCTTTCCCTAAAATGATCCTAAAGCAACAGAGCAAGCAATTCATGTCTTCTGTAGTAGTGATGCCCATTTGGAACCCCCTACCCATATGCTAGGTTGAGGTCTCTCTTTTCCCAGTGGTTTGTTTATAACTACTGTATTTTTTGTATACGCTTACTTTCCATATGTGCAGTTATAAATGAAGCTGTGATTTGCATTACGTCTCCTTGTCATCCTTCTACTTCTATGTTCCATGGGACTGGAAGTCTAAAGGTATTCAGCATGTAGTGAATCTCTGCTAGATTCTAAGGAACAGGAAAGATATTTTTAGTTGGTAGAATGTCTGAACTTGGAGTCTTACCCTTAATATGGTTTAGATTTTAGAGCCTTCTTAGGATATTTGAATTTTCATGTTGATTCTGTGAGCTAGTTCAACTAGCTTTGAAACTTGCTTCAGAAGAAACGCTTTTCTTCCAAGCTGTTTCTGCTGGTCATATTGCCCTCTGGTGGCGGTTTGAGAACTGTTGGCACAAATGCAAACCATCTCAAAAATGTTAAGCTGTGTATAAACGTGCACTAACGGGGAGGAAGGGGGGATTTCCAACTAAGTTGTTAAGACAAATTACATGAGGGTTTTTGGTGTTTGGTTGGTTATAGGGCTTTTACTTAGATAATCATCAAGCTTCCCACCGTAATTCAGTGTGATACGAAAAGCAAGTAGCAGTGGTGAAGTTAAAAAAAAAAAAAAAAAAGGGTTACTCAAATGTCTTGTATTCTGTGTAGTCATAAGAAACAAGATTTATAATTATATCCTCAAACTTAATTTTGTCTTTTACAAATCCACTTTTCCTACTTGTTTGCCTTATTTTAACAGAGACTAAGCATGGAGGAAGCAAGAATGGAAAGAAAGAAGGCCTCTCTGGAAGCTCGTTTTTCACCTGGTTTATGGTAATTGCTTTGCTGGGAGTTTGGACGTCAGTAGCAGTTGTCTGGTTTGAACTTGTAGATTATGAAGAAGTTCTAGGTAAGAATTTTAAGTCTTAAGACACTACTAATAATTGTTATGATATGCACTAAATGGAGGCCATTTTAAATTTCTAGATACCAGATTTGACTACTGTGGTGTTTGCAAATGACCTACATGACAAGAATAGGCAATGTAGCTTAAAAAGTATGTTTTAATGCTGAACTCCATTATGATAAAATGGGGTTCTCATAAGACTATAAAAGTTTATTAACATACTGCATTTATTAAAGAATTGAAAAAGTCTCCAAGGATAGAACTGGATCTCTTTGTCACACACATACTGTAGTTCATTTGAAATGTCAGCTAAATATGTATTGTTTCAAATTAAGGTCTCAAACTTGCAGCAGTGGTTGAAAATGGGCAGCTAATGTTACTACTCCTCTGATGGACTGTGTTGCCCATAGAGTCAGGACAACTGATGAGTCATCCTCTCATGAATGAGCTGTTGAATGACCTCAGTTTTAAGCTTATAACAGTAATAATTGTATCTCAATATGACAATGTTAAGATAGTATTGTTAATGTAATATCTAAGCGTAAAAATTAATGTCTTGAAGGTCAAGATGTATGTCCATAGGTAGAGCTATTGTCCCTGATGTTGTAGGATTCAACATGCACTTTTGCAACTGCTGGTTTTACAAGCTTTACAGCTTTACAAATCTGTTGGTACATGCTTTTTTGATCTGGACTGATTTTAAAAGAAGCTTCTGGTTTGAAATTGGGTCTAGTGATGCAAATAATGGTTTCTATATTTTTACCACACATGCAGCCAAAGCAAAGGATTTCCGTTATAACTTGTCAGAGGTCCTACAAGGTAGGATATTAGAGAAATAAGCTTGCTTTACAGTCCCTTGGCTAAAAATTTCGGTTTACTTTTTTATGTTTTTAATTTTTTAGAGAATTACTATTCTTCTACAATGACATGAAACTCAGTCATTTTTCATCTGTCTCATTCTTCATGGTATTGAAGATGATACAATTCTTATTTCTAGAGAATTACATTTATTCCACCAGTCTGCTGTGTTTAACCATAAACCGATAAAGATCCTTTCTAACTGATTGCTTCCGTGCAATGGTGATGGCCTTATTTTTGTCTGTTCTAGACCCAAGTTTGAAATTTTTCTTCCACAAAATTTTTCTGATTTTCTAAGCACCATATTAAGAACTATATTTAATTTATTTTAATGGCAATCAAGTTCTGCCTCCATTTAGAGAATGACAAGTGTAATGGTAAACTGGCAAACTATAAGGAATCAGAGTTATTCTGCAAACAGTGGGAAAGATTTCAATCCTATTAAAAGTTGTGTCTGAATTTTATCAAAACTAATTAGATAGCTCTGTACTCACTTGGTGATCCCAGGAGACTTCTAATCCTAGATACCACAATTCTATGCTAAAAATTCTTTTTGAATAGAAGCTGAGTTCTCCTTTTGCATATACTTAGGACTGGTAGAGCTGCAGTTTCAAAAATAAAAGTGAGAAGTCTGACATGGTAGTCACCTGTAAAAGGATGGACAACTTTTTTGTCTGCAGTGAATGTTACACAGTTGTTGATAAAAATTATGAATGTTTTTCCTTTGTTCAGGAAGTAGGTTGCTTACCTTCTATTAACTTGGCACTAAAAATTATATACCTATCTTTTTTTTTTCTGAGAATTTAGAATGGCAAGAAGCATATAATCAGAAAACAAATGGTGATTATTTGATTAATTCTTGTTTTATTGTTTGTTTTCCCTCAAACATCTTGAATGTTCCTTGTGAACTTAAATTTTATTCTGAGCAAAACATGTTTATATAAAGCACATGAGTTAAGTACAGATTCATTTTAAATCTGTGAGCACCAGAATAAATGTGTGGAAAAAAGACTAACTTGTGTTCATTCTAAAGTCTAGGAAATGCCAAAAGGAACTTGAAATAATTGTAATATTTTCCAGGAAATTTAAAATGTGGTTAAGAGGAGTGCGGCTAAATCATTAAAAAAAAAAAAATGGTAACAACCTAGCTTTGACAGTCAACCATTGCACATTCAAAGCACTGTGCTGGAAACAAACTGCTGAATCCCTAATTCTCTCTTCTTCGTCTCCTTGTGTTTCTAGGCAAGCTTGGGATATATGATGCTGATGGAGATGGAGATTTTGATGTGGAAGATGCTAAAGTATTGCTAGGCGAGTACCAACACTGGTGGAATAATCTATATAATTCAGTTGTCATATTAATGTTTGTTTGTTTTTTTTAATGTCAGAACAATATTTCTGTTTTTTCCAAATCGGAGAACTTAAATTGATTTAATTGTGGTGGGTTTTTTCTTAACGCAATTTGTAGGATTGTGTGTGCAATTTGTTGTAGCAAGTTGTGTTCTTTTTCTCCTAATACAGCAATGTAAGTGGAAAGCATTTAATTACTTACAGGATGATTTTGAAGTTAGGTGGCTGATGCTGCTGTATCAATTGTTGAAAGATGGTTGTGATTATTAATAAATTTATCAGAGGCAGGGCTTAAGATGCTTCAAGAGTTAAAACATTGTTTATGTTAACATGTTAAGCCAGGTTCATTTTAAAATGTCTTCCAACAGGCCTTTGTGCTTCTTAGATGACTACTTGTTTAGCATATTTTTGTACTGTCTTTCCTCTATTCTGAGTTATCCACAAGTCTGTTCATTTTCTTTGCCCTTCAGAAATCCTACATGACATGGATTTTTCTTCTTTGATGTTGAAACACTGGTTTTTAGGCTTCTGTTCATTGTAGTTTGGGAGAATGTCTTTCTGCTCACTATGTATCTTCAAAGAGAAATTTCAATCGCTAAACATGCTTTGTGATACTGCCCTTCTACCTACATCTTCTAGCAGTTAAAGCACTACTATCTTCAGCTTCACAATCAAGCATTGGAAAGATGCTTCTTGCATACCTGATGTTAGAAAGTTTACTTTTCTGTAATTGACTTGGTCAAATGTAAACCTATTCTGAGCATGCAAACCTAGCAAGTTAAACAAACAAAACAACAAAAACCCCCAGCATAGTAAATAATAGTTTGAGCATAGGGCAAAGTGGAACGTCTCAATCTAGTCAAAGTTATCAATAGTATATTAGGATGTTATGGCTTGCTGTTTGAAACTCATACTCCATAAAAGTCAGTTTATCATCAGTTTATTTTTCCACACTTAGGTTTGGAGAAATAAGCAAGTCTTTTGGGGGAGTTTTTTTAATCCCTTCATGGTTAAAGAAAACCCATGCAACCAATATTACTGAACCAGTTTGCAGTGGTGTGAATGTAAGAGGCACTCCAAAGAATCTCCAGTGCTCTGAATAACTTCAGAGCTACAAACTTGCCGTTAATTATAAATGGTGAATAAGATAACACTTTGTATAGTTATAATCCTAATCTTTCTCTGTCCAGTGTATAGAAAATGGATATCAATCGCCTGTGGGTCATATTAGTCAGAGTCAGATTGCCAAGGTGGTAGCCAGAAACATGCTGCTGCTTTGTTACATGTCTGTTTTATGCAACTTGATAAGGCTGGGAATTCTGCCAGTACATGACAGTGTTTCTATTATAAGCTTGTCTTATCACGCATTTAAATCTTATACTTCAAATGTGACATTAAAAGGTCACAGATCAAAAGTTATTTTTAATATTTTTGAATACTTGCTTGGAAATACCATTTAATCGCATTTAAGTTTATTTTCTGCAGTGCAAAGGAAATTGTAAATTTTGAAAAATTAGACAACATTGATAAAATTTATGAATATAAAAATATAGTTTTTCTAATAACTAGCATATAAAATTATTAACTGAAGTTCCCAGTAAATTATTGTGCTTGTTTGTATTTTGCATTTAATATGAACTAAAAAATGAATACCACTATGCAGACTAAAATTATTTCATTGATGCAGAAACTGGAAGACTAGATTCCCTCTTGAGAAATTTATCTTCCAGAATTAAGCCTTTATAGTAAAGAAAACCGTATAGTAAGCCTATATTCAACTGCATTAAGGTAACTTTCTAAATATTGAATGCATAGCTCCTTTTATATTTTATTTGTGAGGAGCTTGTTAGTATGTATGTTGTATTTGAAGACTTGTTACTTTCTGGGATTTTTCTCTGGGTCAGACTACCATAACAGCAAGTAGTTTCTCTGCTAGTTTAATATTGACTTAAAAAGAAGATACTACTTTTTGATGTTTAATGATAGGAAGTAATATTTTTTTTTTCTTTCCTGCTCTTCAGCTATTACTGAACTACTGTATATTGAAGTTGTGGCAAGTATAGTGGTTTAATGTTGTCCACTTCCATAATCTTTAGGTTTTGCTACAAATTGAAAGATTTAATTTCCATATTAATGATAAAAATATTTTTAAGTTAATTTAATTTTGAGAAATGCTTCTACCAGCATGAGTTTATTTTATATTTCAAAGAATGGTTTAGTAGCTGATATCTTAGTAGTTTTCTGTACTACTCAGGCATGCCTAAATAGAAGAATTAAAATTTATTAATTTATTTCTTGTATGTATAAGGTATGATAGAGGTTTGATGATTAAGTTCTCTTGAGGTATTTATGTAATTTTAAAAACAGTGTGCAAGAAGTGTGTTCTTCCCCTCTTCCCTGTCTCCCCCCTCCCTGAGCAAGAGCGGGGAGGGGGAAACACCTAAAACCCTGCCAGCCAACCAACCCCAAATATTTTTTTGAGTTAGTTTTGTATCCATTTATAAAAAAAATATCCAGGGTGGAAATGCAAACTTGTCAAAGCTAGTCTGCAGTTATCTTGCAGATTCTTTCTTTTTCACAGGTGTTTGTGAGGTTCTGTTTACTGAATTCCTTTTGGTAATGGGAAGAGAGGCTCAATCCCCTCCTTTGAGGGCTGCTGTTACCAATAGTTCTTATCCCACTTTTTGTCCATGTTGCTCTGATTGTTCTTTGAAGGAAGTTATTCTTCTCAGGAGGAGTGTTACACCTCTGTACTTGCTTTAGCTCAGTATAGAGAAACAGTGGCTTTAGTCGTATTACAAAAAAATGCATGTATAGGTAGTACTAATGTCTCTTGTAATAGAATCTTTGGAGCTGAGCTATTTTTTATACTTCAGTCCTTTTTAACAAGCAACAATATCCTGAGAAATTCTTCTTAAATGGCTGCAGTAGTTAGTATAATTTTGGAACTGCAGCTACAGAAAGTCATCAATGTATTGTTCATGTGGATTTAGTTCAGAGTCGTCGGGCTATGCAGAAAATGGAAAAAAAAAACCCAACCGTAGTGTATGAGCAAACAAAGGGTATTTAACAGTAGAATCCAAGCTTCTGTAAACCAGCTTTTTTCCCCTGGTTCACCTATAGTAGAAAAAGATGTTTGCAAGCAGTTGTACAAAGATTGTACATTCAGAAAATCTGTGTGAGATAATGGGAGTTAAAAGAATGCTTTTGTATGGTTAAGCTGTTTAGGATAAGTTTCATACTCTTCTCTATTTTTCTCATGTTCTACTCTAGCACCTTCGAATATTAAAGGCTTGTATATGCTCATTCTCATAAAAGAGATGTTTGCGGGAGAAGAAAGGCTTTGTCCTATTAAATTGTCATGGTTTAACCCCAGCCAGCAACTAAGCACCACGCAGCTGCTCACTCACTCACCCCCCATCCAGTGGGATGGGGGAGAAAATCGGGAAGAGAAGTAAAACTCATGGGTTGAGATAAGAACGGTTTAATAGAACAGAAAAGAAGAAACTAATAATGATAATGATAACACTATTAAAATGACAACAGTAGTAATAAAAGGATTGAAATGTACAAATGATGCGCAGGGCAATTGCTCACCACCCGCTGACCGACACCCAGCCAGTCCCCAAGTGGCGATTCCCTGCCCCCCCCTTCCCAGTTCCTAAACTAGATGGGATGTCCCATGGTATGGAATACACTGTTGGCCAGTTTGGGTCAGGTGCCCTGTCTGGGCATGAGAAGCTGAAAAATCCTTGACTACAGTCTAAACACTACTGAGCAACAACTGAAAACATCAGTGTTATCAACATTCTTATACTGAACTCAAAACACAGCACTGTACCAGCTACTAGGAAGACAGTTAACTCTATCCCAGCTGAAACCAGGACATAAATAAATGTAGGCAAGCCCCTCTGCCCCATTAGTTGTGGTAATGCTGTTGAGTAGATAAAGATTTTGACTCCTTCGATCACTGTTTGATTTAAATTGTGATGTTTAGACTTCTCTTGAAATAAAGTAGTTATTTCCTGTGTGTCACTGATTTAGCATGGTATGGCTAGCTGATTGGGCAGTTCCATTTTTCAGGCCCTTCTTGCTATGCTTATCAGCACATGAGTTTTACTTTGAAAAGCAGTTCTTCTTGATCATGGGGATGAATGAAGATCAAAAATAGTAGTAATTAGTTTTTGTTGGGTTTTTTTTAACTCTTTCTAAGAAAGGAAAAAGATAAATATGTGAAATAATGTGTTACTTCTGTAACTCAGGCTGAAGTGTCTTTTTTTTTTTTTTTTTTTTTTTCCCCCCTCAACCTTAGATTCAAAGGCCATTATATTAATCCTGGATAGTTTTTGTAAAGAACTATAGAGAAAGGTTTTGGGGTTTTGTTGTTTGGTGGTTTTTATGGTAAAAACTATAAGACATATTCTTCCAGTTTCTGTGGTTCCCTTCGGTGTCCTAATCTTTGCAAAGAAAATATGCTGCTGTATTCCATCCTATATTTTGTAACGATAATTGCCCAAGAGTCTTACTCTTGACTTAGTGCAAGAACAGGGGCATCTATATGGTACTTCACGTACTTACAGAAGTGGTATCTAAAGCCTGGAGTCTTTTGTGAGTGGTGGGGGTGGGTTTGGGGTTTTTTTGGGGGGGGAGTGTTTGTTTCTTTTTTAATGCCAGATTCTGACAGAATAGAATGATAGAAATATATATAATTCTGTGTTTATAACTTAGATTTATTTTTTTAAATTTTTTTCTTTTAGATTCAGGTTTCCATTCTTAAACTGAGACTACATTTCATTTTTCAGTAAATATACTTACTTTGGTTTATGTCTTTACATCTTGCTTGGTCCAAATTTTGAAAACAAATTAGAATGATGAATAACTACCATGCATAAAGTTAAGTCTATAAAATTTAATTTTTATAGAACTAAGCCATGGAAGAAGTTGGAGAGGGATATTTATAA